CTGGTAAGGAGGACCTGTACCTGCTGCCTGTTCCCCAAACAAAAACATCATAAGCAAAGGAAATACATAGAGGTAGTAACAGACCAAACTGGTCAGTGGGGCCTATCTCCCATCCATGGTGCCATGCCTCCTCCTGCTAGACCCATAGCCAAACCAATGAAACCAAACAAACCCCACAAAACCCAGTGCATGAGACCCAAACAAGTCCCACCAGGAGGTCGCAACCCACTATCCACACAGGTAGCCATCAGCCAGCCAGGCCACCAGGGAGCTTTACAGCACTCAGTAGCTTCACCCAACAGCTCCAGCCGGACTGGGAACACTTAATTAGACCTCGCCCAACCTGATGCAGGTCCAACTAGTGCTCGCAGGTGCCTATCCCCCCCCAATCAGCTCCTCCCAAGCCCCATATGCTAGATACCACAGAGCCCATCCAGCCACCCAGTACATCAGACAGATCAACCGTCAGATAGCAGACAGCCACAGGACAGCCTATACCTAGCACTACCTGGCAGCCACTGGTCTTGGCTGCAGTAACAAAGCCCTAACCCCCAACATCGTATAGCTGAGGGGGACCCACTAGCCACAGCTGGGAGCTACAAAGGAGGTAGCACCAACACCCAAAGGCATCGGCACCAGCCATACCATCCAACCCAGCCAAACCCAAGTCCAACCAAGCCGAGAAAGAGTAGGGAGAGCCACCCGAAGCTAGCCCCACAGGTCTGGTAGCAGGTACAGACTGAACAATGGGCAAGAGGTACCCCCGACTGATGCGACATGAAGGAGGAGGCCGCACGAACAGGAGCAGAAAAACAGAAGGTAGGCTCCACTTGCAATGGGTGAAGCCGCCAACCACAATCCACAACCGAACCACCCAAACACACAGACAACGCGAGTGTCTGGCAGCCAATCATCCCACACCATTCCAGGGAGCCATAATAACCACGCCAGGGGATAAGAGTTTTCAGGGTCAAAGCCATCCCCACTGAGGCGAGGAGGAGACACCTGACTGAACCACTGTAAATGCCACAAGGACTAACTTCCAAGGGAACGGTGATAAACAATATCATAGGATTCCGACTGTAGAAACGTAATGTAACAAGGAGGGGCTTGGCGGGTACTACCCTGCCACCTGAGGAGTGATGCCGCCAGTACGATGAGTTGAACTTAAGAAGGTCATCAATCTAACCCAAGGACGTTTTGTATCATAAGAACTAAGGACTCCGTTAAAACGCAACAAGAAACATGAGCTGGCCTAAAGAACGACATGGGTGATTCCCCAAAACACAATGTTCCATCCCCTCAAATTCAACACAAAACCTACTAGTAGACGATAGACGGGAAGCCAAAGACATTTTACTAAAAGGGGCTCGTAAGTGACCGTGATGAATAGCTCAAAGTGCTAGCATCATGGAATAGCTAGCAGGCGACGAAACGAGAAGCAAACAAGTAGTTCGCCACGCAACACCTAACAGACCTCAACACCAAACACCCCAGGAACTACTGAGCGAACTCAGATATCTCCCCCAGAATCCAGGGCATCAAGGCCCATCATGAGGACGAAAGAAATGCTCGTGGCGAAGCGATGGCAACGACGAGGAAAAGTACTGAGAACAAAGCGTGAAGAACCTATCCTCCTCGGCTGCATCACCCTCCTGATATAGTGTTCTTCCCACCCGTAGTCATGTGACCCAAAGTGGTCGCATGCGCGAAACTAAATCATAACAAACTAATCATGTGACCGAAGTGGTCACATGTTCAAAACCCATGACCTCGTAGCAAGGTCATGTGTGAAAACTCATAAACCAATCATAACGTACTAAACGAGTCAAATGACTCAAATGAGTCATATATGCAAAACCCATGACTCATATTTGAGCCATGTACGAAACATAACAAATCTCAACATAACAAATCATCTGACTCGAATGAGTCATAAGTGTGAAACAATAACATACCTGTGACTCATACCCATGCGTCACGTAAAAACCTTTTCCTTGCCCAGCCACATCCGTGGCAGATGGAGGAATTGGTGGGCTGGTGGGTGGGACAATATAAACACAACCTGGAGAAAGATCCATAAGGACAAATAAAATTGTAGCGAATCTCCAGGATCTTATAAGCTCTAGTAATGAAATCATCCATCTCTGACCTGTTCCTTGATGAACAGTGATCACTGAGTAGAAGGATAAATATTTGATAAGTATTTCAAAAAAAAAAATTTGAAAACTAATTATCTTTTTCCCTTTGTATTTACTTCTCACTTACAGTAATTTATAGTGGTTGTATAGCAATTGAAATCTCAATAGCAGAAGCCAATGTGTTGTAAAATCGAGTTGTTCTCTCTGACCTGGTTTTGCTTTACATGTGCTACATTTATAACTTGTAAGTAATAGTCAAGCAATAGTTAGGAAGTAATATTTGAGAACTGATAAGGAAAGCTAAGATGTAGAATAGTTCTAATAACAAAAATTATATCTTAATAATACATAAAACTAGCATCCCCTCGATCTACGCTCGAGCGCGTTGTGAATGTTGAAAGTCGGTGGAGCATTTAAGGAATAAGAATTTTCGCATTTTGGCTTGGCATGGCAATTTCACCCTCATCACAAGTTGTGATCACAAACTCCGAGCTTGGTACATTACAGCACAGATCTTATCAGATTGTCGTTTTTGGATAAGATGAGATTGCGCACATCTGATTAACTGCTCAGCACATATATGATGATGATGTGAGGTGGAAACACAAAAAGCACGGTACTGTACAAACTTTTATATATATACATTACACGGTCTATGAAGAATTATGCGACCTTCCTACCAACGTTACCCACACCCCTTCCAACCACCGACACTACCAACGAATCACCTTCTCCATCGCGGACAGCAACTTCCCCGCCAAAAACTTTCTTTATATCCCTAGCACCAGCGATGAACTCCTCTCCGACCGCTTCGCTACCAAGTACCACCCGCCCAACATCCCCCTCAATCCCCATCATCATCATAATTAGGACACTCATAAGCCCATGTCTACCAACAGCCCCGCCAACCCTAATCTCCTCAAGCAGCATAATAGCAGCTCTCTTCCCGACATTTTCCGCAGCCTCCGCCGGTCCAGCAAATGCATCCGCAGCATACATAGTACCAAGACTTGTCTCGGCAACTAAGGAAATACCAAACCCAACACCGGTCTTCCTTGTTTTTCCCCCTGCTCCCCCCTTAGTGTTACCGGCAGCCATTTCCGCCGCGCCTTCTTTTCCGTAATCTGCAGGGACTATCTGCGCCTTTGAAACGTCTGAGAAAACATATACATCTGCAATGAATCTATTGAGAACTCCACGTGCCGCCTCGATCATCCGAGCATTGTTTCCCGCGCTAACACCGGTGCTATGGGAAACACCCCGAATCCGCTTCACTCTTCCGGAATTCTGTAGATGCAGTGTCTTGGGTAACCGAACTTGATGCCCGTGCAAGAAATGCACCTCACCGGCACCTAAAGGTCCTGATGAACGTACCAGCGTCCTCACTTCGATTCCCCGCGTAATCTCAAAGCCAGCATACACGGGCAGCACGGCCGTGCGGAATGTATCAATCGAGTAATCCTCTGTCGTCGCGGACGTAATGACACCACCTTTTAGGGTCACCGAGAAGGCACTTTTCGAAAATGGGGCTAGTAATGCAAGGACTTCTAGGAAGTAGGTGACGCCACGGGGGCAGTTTTCTGGTATTGTGTGTATGAGGACACGGCCATTGTTGCCGGTTATTAAACCGGGCTTGTATAGTAGGGTTGTGCCGGTTAGGGAGATTTCGATGAATGTGCCATTGGTTAAGGAGTCGAACAGGCGGAGGAGGGAGAACTCGTAGGGTGTTAGACCGGGTTTCAAACTGGTTGCTCGAATCTGTGAGATGTGGAGCGGGGCGCCAGTTAGTGTTGCGAGAACCAGTCGGCGTCGAAGAGAAGAGTGAGTGGTGAAGCGTATGGGGGTAGCAGGAGTAATCGTTGTTGTTGTCATGGTTGACTGAATTGTGTGGAGGTGGGTGGGTTGATAGTGTTTTTGGGGGGGGAGAAAGTTTCTAGTGGGCAGGAGATGAGGCTCTGCGATGGGCACTTAACCCTAACCCATTGCAGGGTGCCCAATCCCCGTTGGGTGTACTAGCGTATCATAAAGTGTCCGGACACTTGGCGCCAATACAGGCGGCCACAGTGCCAAGGTGTCCGGATACTTTATGAATCAGCCAGTACTCGAGCACCGATCGTACTCGATGAGAGCACTTTAGGATCTCTCCTGTGTGGTGGGATACGAGTTAAATTTGCTCATCGGTACTGTAAGGAATTACGTTCTGGTCGCCCGTCAATCAATAGCTTTTTGAGGTATTTTGTCCGTGCATCGCTCTGGCAGTAAGGTCTTTCGTTAGCTACCGGTATTTAGATATGATCGAGATGTGGTCTAGCTTGATACCGGTAACTGTTCATACAGCACTGCCTTTTCTCCGGGTTCCTCACCTCGTCGGAGGTTCACCAAGCCAGCCTCCTATTCACCTAGGGTCCACCTCACCCCGCCATGTAAATTTTTGATAACGCGTTTTTCACTGGGGTGCCCCCAGTGAGGCTTGGCACGGCTTGGCTTGCTAAGGTGATCGAGGGTGGGGGGTGTTGCTTCCAAATCTCGCCACGCCTCGCTCGCTGAGGTGTCGTCTCACTGAGGGCACCCCGGTCTCAATAAAAAAAGGCATCGAGTGTCCATGTCTGGACAAGCCCCACACCAACTCACGGTCCTCATTTGTCTTGAACTGCCTGAGATGCGGGCGCTGGTCTTCGATCCCAGTTCCAGTACCGTACTTGAGAGACCCCATGAGGAGGATTCCAGCAAAAGTAAAGTTTGGCGTGCATGGGGCAGTTACTACTGGTGCAATCAAAATGATTGAACCGAGCTGTCATATCATATCTTACCACACCGTTGGAAAGTGCAGACTGCGCATCCCTCCGAGAGGACACTCGAGTACAGTTGGGTGGGTGCCTTGGCAGCTATAAACTTTCTATTTCCCGGACAGGGACCTGGTATATGGTACCAGTGTCAAGCCTTACCCCCGCTCTTTATTCCTCCGAACCTCCCTTCCACCCGCTCACTAACTCGCAGAAACATTTGTGGTCTGGAAAAGATGGATGACAACGGAATTGAGAGCCTTTTTGTTCCCATCCTAGCGGGGCCGAAGGATGATGAGTATGGGAAGAATAGGACAGTTACTAGACCTTTGTTTTTCGACCGGGTGAATGAGGGGTTCTCAATTACATCCACTACACCATTGTTCCAGCTCCCAATTGAGCTGCTGAATGACATCACGACCTACCTGGGGGCCGATGATCTTAAATCGCTGGCACTGGTGGATCGTGATTGCAGGCAGCTGGCTAGGTATCGCTAACTAGTCTTCCGTCCGCTTGGTTGAGTATTCGTGCTAACAAACGATAGGTCGGTCCAATTCTCTACAGTAACTTTGGATTACAGTTTCCCAAAACACTCGCTTATAGCGGCCCTACACGAGGAGGCCCAGGAGCGCTCGGTCAACAACGGCTGTCTACCGCAGCCTTCAATCGGAGCTTGCGTCCGCCGCCTTATTGTAGCAACAGAGCCCCGGCACCTCTCAGAAGCGCATAATGTCGTCGAACGGCCTGATTTGGTGGATCTCCGTGAAGCTTCGGACAGGTACTTTAGTGTTTACACTGTGCAAATTGCATCAGCTATCGCTAGTGCCCTGCCGAACCTCGAGGAATTGAGTCTTCAGGATAGAGCTGTTGCACCGGAGCATCTGCTTGGGGCTATTCCGGCATCGCCAATCCGGACTTTGAAGCTGGGCAAAATTTCCCTAGCGGTTGATGACCCCATCTCCATCCCTCTAGTAGGCACGAGGTGGGGCGTGGAATCTTTGGAACTGGAGGTTATTCGTGATCTGTGCTCCCCGTCATCTCGGTGCACTGCGAATTTTTGTAAGAGTGTTCTAGAAGCTACGTCCAAGAATCTAGAGAGGCTAGTCTGGCGCGGGCACTTTGGAGACCAGCAAAGTTTTGGGCGATCCATCAGCTTTCCAAAACTGCGAACGTTGTCCTTGAGTTTGATAAGCGTATCCGACGACACAGTCCTGAGCTCCTTTTTCCCCTCCGGTGACACTTCTACCCTCCGGGCGCTAAGCATCGACACCCGAACTGAACGCGTCCGTGCCTTCCTCCCCACCATCGGCCAGATAAAATCACTACAATCGCTCCATTGCCACACCTTCTCTATCCCCAAAGACCCAGACGTCTCCTTCATTGCTTCGAACCCCCAATTAAAATTTCTCGCACTCTCCCCGTACACAAATGAGTACCTAACTACAACCCTACTTCCAACCCTCACAAACTTCACGTCCCTAAACTCCCTCTCCCTAATATTCGGATGTTCATATATCGACCTCTCTGCATTATCTTACATCAGCAAGATAAGATCTCTAACCCAGCTCTGGCTCAGCGCGGGCAAACAAAGCGGTTGGGCGGTCGATTGGGAAATTGACCATGACGCAATACTCGCTACACTCTCCCCGCTCCAAGGATTGCGAAGAATAGCATTTACAAGAGATACGTATAGATCGAAAGATGGAGTTCCGCCAATCGAGTATTATTACGAATACCGGATATTGCCAACGGAGATCTCTCCGCCAGGGTTAAGCGAAGCTGGTCTCGACGTGGTATGGGAGGCGTGGCATAGAAATAGGATGGTTGATGTTGCTAAGAGATATTTTGGCACCTTCAAGCGGCTGAAGTGGTTACTTGTCGGGGGGTATCCGATGGGGGTGATGGATGGGGAGCCAGTTGTAGAAAGTGGGTCTAGAGATGGGTGTGAAGGGGTACTGCGAGAGTGGTGGGGATTGGACTTGTAGCCTTTCCGGGCTGGTGGGGTGGTCCCTGTAGCTTTGGCGGAGCTTGGATTGGATTGGGTTTGTGGTGGTTAGTGCGGGTGTCTTTTCGTTCTGGCCTTGCAACGCTGCTGGAGCATTTACGATGTGATATGATTTAACTAGCTCCTGAAATAAATAACCATACTCGACCGCTGCACTCAAAGCCTAGATAAGCTAATTACTGTGGAGTGTTTGAGGTACTGCTTGCAATATTAAGTTTTCATTCTGCAGTGCCGCAGCCCATTAAACCTTGGGTATATAACAAGGACACGACCCAAAACCACATTCTAAATACAAGCACGGCAGTGATATTTCACACTTGTACCGCGCCGGATCTAATCAATGCCTGTTGCCTATCTCTCGGGCTCCAAGTTTTGTTTCTGCAATGCACCGTATCATACTCAAATATCTATTTTTCTCCCAAGCAGCAGACGCTCATTAACGGGCGCTGGTGGGCTACTCTGCCGCGGGATGCAGTCGCCGATCCATAGAACACGCACGATGCGCTTGGTTCTCTGCGAAGCGCTGGGGAACTAGAGGCAATGCGGCAGTTACATTTTGAGCGACTAGCGGACTGCTGCGATAGATTACTAGGGTATGAGTGATCAGTGTGCGCGTCATGTATCGAAGATTAAGAAAGTATAATATGGAAGTCCCTGGGGTAGGTTATGTCTTAGAAGTGACCGGTTAAAAGTGTATGGTACGATAGTATGATATGTTTTTTTTTTGTTGCTATAGGTGTAGCTATTCAACGGACTGTTTGGATTGAGGGCGCCTGGGGGAGTCTACGAACCTGTAGCGTCGAAGGGTTTTTGAAAAGAACTGCTATTGCATACCGCTTAGATCCGAGCAAAAGGGCTAATTTCTCGTGGTATTCAACACTAGTTCTAAAAACGCTTCGATACTCTGAAATTCGGCGCTCGTCTTAAGAGTGGGGGTGATCTGATGTGGGGGAAAAAAGCCAAGTATGAGGATTGCCCTCTTCTGCTTATTCGCTTCTTTTTTAGTCTGCCCCCCGCCCCCCCTCCTATCAAGCTACTATCATACCGGTATTATGATACTGGGTATTTACATATCATGGGGAGCGTTCACTCTTTACAACTCTACTCCCTGTTTCACTTGGCGTTCCAGAAATTACTTAGAGAAGGTATGAATATTGCCTGTGCGCAGTAAGTGGGGGTAGAATGGAGGGGAGGTTTCCGATAAATCATCTAAGCGAAAAACGGGAGCGATGTAGTGTGGTGGCGGCATAGTTTCCATGTAGGTCGGGATTAAGCAGGAGTCTAGCTGAGGTGGGTAAGAGGGGAAAGAGGAAGGAGGGGAGGCTACTATAACAAAAAGGCTCCCCGGCCAAATACGAGTGACCGCATCGCAGAAAAGTAGAGACAAGGAGTGTCTATAGCTAAAGGGAGGATATAGTAGACCGGCTACCTTTGCAGTATCATAAACGCGCGAGGGGCTGTGTATGATTAAGGGACAATGATTAGGAGTCAATGTTGGCGCAGATACTCTCTCCGGCAGACGCTCTACCAAGAGCCCGTCTTCTTCGGTGTTTGATTTCCCTCGGCCCTTCTAGGGCTGTCGCGTTGTTTAGGGAGGGGATGCAAGTCTACTGTTCTGTTCCGTCAAGTGAGGGACCACGACCGTGGCTAGTACGCCTTCTATCACAATGTCCGCTCAGTGGGCGTTTCACAGTACGCTGTGAGAAATTCTGTAAATCTTGATCAGCCCGCAGTTTCTGCCATGTGGGCTGTGTTCCATTGCCGCGATAGTAAGAACTATTGTGACATACCCCTGAAAAGCTTCATAAATCGGTATTTTTTGTCTTCTTGCTGGAGTCTTGAATAGGACTAGTGGGTGTTATCGGGCTTGGGCTTCCCCCTGTTATTGCTGTCGTTTTCCTTTCTGGCTTTGTCTTCGGTCCCGCTACGGCCGTATGAAGAGCACATCTATGGAGAAAACGGCATGGATGGTGAGCCCCGAGAAGTTGGTCCAGACGTCCATCTTTCCTTCCTATCGCTCACTAGCTTGCCCTCTGTTTTATTATATATCCATCTCGCAATCCGAACAAGTCTTCTATGGGGGATTATATTCCGTCCAGTCGATACAGCTACCCCCACCGCGGGCTGCCTTGTATTCGCTCGGAGAGTGCGGTAATATTGACGAGTGATAACACACGAATCAGGGTCTACCGCTCACGATAGTGCCTCGCGGCTGTCCTCAAGACGGAATATGTAATTTCTCCATCAGTCGAACTTGCAAATTGGAGATTCAAGAGGCCTCCTAGATCACTAGGATTATTGTCAATCGGGCTCATCAGGTTTGAGCCAAGGTTCTCTGCGCGTTTCCCCCGGACGGCGGATCTCTTTTTTCTCTCTTCTCGGATGTGTCTTCGGCGTACAGACATCACGGGAGCGTTTTGGTATCGTGTGGGGGGGGGGGCGTTGGTGCTGGTGTCGTACGGTCGGTGGTTGAAAGGAGGAATTTGATGTCCTGATAGCTAGCTAGTGACTCTAGGGTCTCCCATTCGAACACATTAAGTGGTATCCTGAAGTCCGAGATCAAGTGGGCGTGAAGAGGCTGCTTCAAAGCCATGCTTCGAGTTCCGGCCACTCTACTCAGGTTGGCGCGAGGGAGGTGATGTGGTGCCCCACCAGCCGGAGGGTGGTTATCGGGAGTCTCGAATGTGTGTTTTTTAGAAGTCGTATATGCTGTGGCGAAGGAATCCCGTAGCTGCCCTAGTGATCACGAGGAAAGTTTGCCAACCTGTGGCTAATATCGACTCTAGAAGAAACTGGGGCAGTTTTCCGGCGGATTTGTGGTTGCGTGAATGGAAAGTCTTGGTGGAGTCTGGGTGCATGGTAAGCAAATACGCTGCTAATAAATTCTTTGACTGTCACCCCATAGTTTTGGGATGTTGGTGGAGTGAAGTATTATTTCTTTTAGGTTGGAGAGCATCTTTCCTGCTGCTGGTGTTAGAGCCTATGGAGTGTGTCACTGGATATAGTATTGGACTGTGGGGGTATCATGCTTAAACTTGGATAAAACTTGGCAGTCATTGGTAGTAAATTATGCTGCTTCGAGTAAGCTCGAAGGCCACCCTCAATGATCTCTTAGATCTCTAGATCATTCATCGGATCCCTGGATTTCTGGTACGGGGTCCCTAATTTCCTGTTCTTTCTTTTCTCTTTTCATAAACGCACTCCTTTAATTCCTCTCCCATCAAATATTTCACCCGAACCCCCTTACACAAACATTGTTACCTCCAAAGTCAGAGCCCTCTCACGATATCACCAACTGGTAAACGCCTCTATTGCATGTGCATATAAGCCATTTTCCCAAAAATAAACATGTTCCTAGGTCCCTTCTTTATTTTGTCACTCTTCTTCCTTGGAGCACTCAGCGATGACTTCATCCGCCTCCCTTCGCCAGTAACCCACGACCCTGGAATCGCTCACCTCTTCTCACAAATTTACTCCCTGGCCGGCCCTGTTGCCCCTACGGACCCCGTCACCCTCAACCAAACCTTTACCAAAATCCTCGCCCTTCTCTCCACCCCTCCCTTCCCTCCAGAAGTTATCATCACCTCTCAGCATCTCCACTGCGAGACCTCCCAGGGTTCCCCCGCATACGCAGACGTGGCTTCGGCCATATCGCAGCTCTACAGACGGACGGGGCAAGAATGCAATAGCAACTCTGGCTGCGAAGAAATATCGGGGTGGGGCAGCGCCGAAATAGGGGTTTGCGGGCCGTTCGGGTACTCCTGGGATTGCAAGGATGTGGGCGGCATGGCTTTTTGGATTGCTGCAAATTGCTGGAAGGACTTGGGGGTTATGAAGGTTGGGGGGAGGTATTTGTTTGATAGGTGGTGGACTGGGTATCCGGCTGATGTGAGGATTTATAGCTCTTAAGTATGGATAAATTTTATATAATAATATTAGAGGGGGTGGATACACTTGGTTTATATTTAGGCCCCGCCAAATGAAATTTTCCTTTGGAGGTTGATTTGTGAAGCGAGTGCCCTTTTGTCTCTTCCCCGGTAATCGTGTACCTGTACCACCACTCGAGATATCAACCGATCAGGAATTTTTCCCCAGAATAACCGCGCACCCTTGTAAACCCACCTGCTGGAAATGTCATTCATCGCCGGTAAAAAAATAGGTATCTCACTACGGGCAACTCCGGGGTTGGCTATTATGGGTATCACGTGATTGGCCGAATAGCCACAAAAACAGAAAAGCTTCTCCCCTCCTATGAGGACTGCATCTCTTGTTTTCCCTCTCCCTTTCCCCACTTACTCTCTACTGTGTCTGGGTTTTTTCTCCCTGCCCTTGGTGGCGTCCAACGGCCTTTCCCCCTAGCAAAGATTGGTTTGGGGAGATTTTCTTGTGGTCATTCGTGGATACACACCGCTGTTTGGCAAAAATATCTAGAGACATGGCCACAGGACGGATATACCCATTCTGTTGATGCTTACTTACAACCCGTGCGTAATGTTCCGACTAGCTCATATATCTGCACAACATATGACAAACTATTCTACCTTGCTAGATTCCATTTTCACAATCACCCGTGCTCACTCGGTCTCCAAGGGGTAGATAATTCATTCGGACAAGAAAAGGTGACGTGAGGTCGTTGATTGATGAATAATATTTTTTCTGAACTAACGTACATATTCTTTACATGCATAGCGAGGTGGCTAGGTTGGAACAAATTATTTGACGTTCTGGTCCGAAAGACTGGTTTTTGTTGGTGCAGTGCTGTACAGGCTCATTTGGAAAGAAGGAGAAAGCAGGGAAGCAAGAGGAGGTTTTTCTATGATATTTGGTATCATATAATTATAAGGGTGTCCCATCGTCCGAAATTGTAGAGCGATTGTGCTATGAAACAACCGGGCCTTTTTGCCTCTCGAGTCCCGCTCTCTCTGAAGTTGTTGCTTTTAACGGAGTTCCCCGGGGCGTGAGAAATTTCCGTGGATGTAG